CCAGTCGTGGTCTAGGGGGGATGATAAGAAGGTCCTAAGATTAATCCAGTATATAGCCTCAACACCACACTACAGGTTAGTAGGTACCATTCAGGACAAGCCTGAAGACCTAGAGCTCAGATTGTTTGTCGATGCCGACTTCGCCGGCGACAGATCAACTGCACGCTCAACCTCTGGTGGCTTTTTGGTTTTAATTGGCCCTAGTTCCTTCTTCCCACTTGCATGGATTAGCAAGCGCCAAACATCCACTTCTAGATCGACCACGGAAAGCGAGGTTGTTAGTTTAGCCCATTCGCTTTATCAAGAAGGCTTGCCTGCCTTACAGTTATGGGAGCTGTTGCTTGCACGCTCCGTAACCCTTAAGGTCCACGAAGATAACCAAGCAACAATCCTAGTTGTGAAGAAAGGATATAGTCCCAATCTTCGCCATATAACTAGAACACACAAAGTCAATTTGTCTTGCCTGTCTGAAATCTTCAGAGATGACTCTGCCGAGATAGAGTACACCCACACCGATGATCAGGCGGCAGACATATTCACCAAGGCATTGCCTCCACACAAATGGGCAGCAGCACTAATCCTTCCAGGGATCCGTGCTGACCTCCCCTTAGACCTTAAATCCAAAGCCTAGGTCGCTGTGAACGTCCGTTCACGCGACAGTAGCCGCTTAGGATACTGCCAATGCGCAGTGCGTGTGGAACAGGCGAGGGGGGAGTTGAAATATACCGACCCCTGAGCCCCACTATGTATAGCATAGGTAGTAGGTCATGTGTAGAGCACTGCCGTAGCTATGAGAACCAATAGTCCGAAGTAGTACACCTCAATGCATGTACAGTTAACACCCCTTATCTAGAAGCGTTAGATAGGGATGGTAGTCGTAGGTTAGAGCATGATGCCCAGTAATTAATACCCTAACAACTACCAGGGTTTAATCGGTCATGCATGCGACGCCTACATGGCTCAAGCGCACAAAACAGTGTGTGCTTGGATGTTTTGTTTACAGGGTTTGGCGGATTGGTTGTTCCCCTATTTTTGGGTGCCCGGTTCGACCCCCTGTTTGTCTATCTTCTGGCATATATTCTGACATATCTTCTGGCATTCTATCTGGCATTCTATCTGGCATATCTTCTGGCATATATTCTGACATATCTCTGGCATTCTATCTGGCATTCTATCTGGCAAATCTTCTGGCATTCTATCTGGCATATCTTCTGGCATTCGATCTGACATATCTTCTGGCATATCTTCTGGCATTCTATCTGGCAAATCTGATGCATTCTATCTGGCATATCTTCTGGCATTCTATCTGACATATCTTCTGGCATTCTATCTGGCATTCTATCTGGCATATCTTCTGGCATATCTTCTGACATATCTTCTGGCATTCTATCTGGCATTCTATCTGGCATATCTTCTGACATTCTTTCTAACTTTCTTCTGCACATTCTTTGTCCCATATCTTCCTACATGAGGTCCGGCAGGGAACACTTGGCGTGGATACTCGCGGTTGAGGTCCGGCAGGGAACACTTGGCATGGATCCTCGCGGTTGAGGTCCGGCAGGGAACACTGGGCGCTTTTGATTGGCGCCGGTGGCACTGGCAAGACGACAATCATTTTGGAGCTCATGCTGGATGTTTTTTGTCACTTTTTTCCAGCCAGGCCCGGAGAAGAAGAGCGATACATGATTGCCACCTTCAGCCATGCCCAATCGGATGCCATTTCCAATGATGTCTATCGCGCGCGAACATGTCATACTGCTTGCTCGTATCGTGTAGCCAGTTTGCGCAACAAGCATTTGGCCTTGAAGACAAAAGAGCAAGAGATGAAACAACGCTGGCAGCCGAAAATTTTAGTCATTCAAGATGAAATCAGTTTGGTGCCAGCTGCAGTGGAAAACATGATGCTTTACCGCAGCATGCGCGCCCGTCAAGATGAAGGCCTTGATCCAGCCAGCTATTTCCACCCAGGAGAGCTCATGGGACACATACCAATTTTGCTGATTGCAGGTGATTTTTTGCAGATCAAGCCTGCCAACGAGATCTCCTTAGATGACAATCTCGAAGAGCTGATCCGCAAAATGCCGCACAGAGTGCAGACAGAACACCATGCTGCCCAGGCGGCATTGATGACCATTGATACAGTGATTCATTTGAAGAAGTCGAAGCGGTTTCTGGATGCTCACCTGCCAGAAATCACAACAGCCATGCGCACGTGCACGCCTGCTGCTCCCTTGTCCGAGAATCACTTGGCTCAGCTGCGCACTCGCAAAATCGAAAATTGCAAGAAAGAACTAACCACGGACTTGTTCAAGCATGGTCACGTCATTGGCATGTATTGGGAGAACATTGCTCGCAGCATGGTGGAACGGGCAAATCGAGATGCGCAAGACCTGGATGTGCCGTTATTTTGTTTGCAAGCTGCTGACCAAAGGCATTCCAGAAAAAATAAAGCCATAGACAAGCAGCTGACGCATCAGCTGCTCACTGTTCCAAACCCGCATCGCACTGGCAAATTGCGAGGCATGCTACTGGTGCACGAGAACATGGTTGTGCGACTGGCGGATGTCTTGGCTCCACACCTTGGATTGGTTAAAGACAAACTGGCAGTGGTAGTGAAAGTGGATTTGCACCATGAAGATCAGAAGCGCCTGGACCGTCGTGAACCTGGATTCTGTCATTTTTTTCCGGACTACATGGCCAAAGGTATCTGGGTGAAATTACTTAAAGGAAAGAATTCGCCCATGGAAGATGCTCTGTTGCAGACGTGGGAAGAAAAGTTTCAGAATGTGGCCGATCACACAACTGACGCAAAGACATTGTTCTTTGTGGAATTGGTGCATGCAGAGTTCAAAATTGATTTGAAACTAGGCGAGGAAACGGAGAAAATTGAAGTGATTCGCTGGCAGTTCCCGCTTTTGCATGGCATGCTGCGCACTGCTTACAGCGCGCAAGGCTTGACTTTGGACGGAGGTGTGCTGGTTGATTTGCGTCGTGGTGGTGGCCTAGAGGATGCGGACTGGTGGCTAGCCATCTATGTCATGCTGACGCGTGCCCGCAAACTGAAGAATCTCATCTTGCTGGGGTTCACGGAGCAAGTGGAGGAGCTTTTACGCAAAGGCCCTCCTACCTACTTGCGAGAACTGACTGACAAGTTGGAAGCCAAAGCTGCTTCGACGCTGGAGCGGCTGCAGTCCTGGCCTGTCTATGATGCATTGCAAGCATCCTGACACAGTGCTCTGCCAGTGGGACCTAATCGGTTTTGACTGAAGAGGTCCGGGGGAGGCATAGGCCTGACACGTTGCTCTACCTGTGGGACCTAATCGGTTTTGATTGAAGAGGTCTGGTGGGGAAATAGAGAGTTGCAGCTGCAGCGATCTGATGAAGTAACACTGGCATGGTTTTGTCGAGTTTACACGTGAGCTTGCGAGCCTTTGACTTTGGTTCAGGGGTCCACTGGCTTGGTTCAGTCATGTTTGTACAAACATGTTTGACAGGCGGCGTGCTGACATGTTTGGGCATGTTTGTTTGTTTGGCTCAGGTGGTCCACTGGCCTGTTTGGTCATGTTTAAACAAACCTGTTGAGAGCTCTGGAGTTTACTTCACATGGTCCCCTGACATGTTTATATCCTGTTTGACAGTCTGACCTGTACAATGACCTGCCAGGTGAAACAAATGATTGGGATAGTTAGTTGGGCAAAAGTCCCGTGACAAAAGCTTCAGACAAAAGTGGTGTCAACAAGCTGTTTTGAAATGTCATGGTGGGGATCACTCGAAGTAAAGTAATTTTTGGTTGAAATATGGTTAAATCATGAATTCTTCTCACGATTTGGAACCTGGGGTTCCAAATCTTGATGACTTTTGATGGCGTATGAATGTTTGTCGCATATGTTTTACCAGTTATCATGGCCATTTGGAGCAATACCAGCAACACCCCCAATTTTGAGACAAACCCATGTGCATGAAATGTGCGACACAGAGAGGCCCCATGAAGCGCAGCAAAATATAAGTCCAGTTGGAAGTTCAAGAGCGAAAGAGGAAAAACAAAATTGAATCAACTGGCTACATCTGAAGGACGTCATGCCACAAGCATCATAGGTGAGCGGTGAGGGGGCATATTTTGGCGAACCAGCTGAAAGATTTGATCCTTGAAGTAGTACGATATCAGGAACCAACATGAAATGCACATTTACTGCTTGGTGGTTTGGAACATTTTTTATTTTCCATAATATATGGGATAATCCTTCCCATTGACTAATATTTTTCAAGATTGTTAAAACCACCAACCAGTTTAGATGAGTTCACATTCACCTGAAACAAACAATCAAGGATGATGATCTTACCCTTCAATCCCCAAATCATCGACCGAAATTGTTTTTTTCCAGCCAGGTTACATGTTTCTAGACTAGCGGGCCAGCGGGTAATTTTCCAGCCAGGACATGCTCGTTGTCCAAACATATGGCACCCCATAAAATCAATATAGAATGACATGGGTGTGTTAATTAAAGCATTGTTTTTCACTTCTTCACTGGCTATGAACTATATAGATCTATATAGACTATATTCAATAGTATGTCCGATTGAATCTACCATTTTTATCACTTTCTGAGGCAACGCTGTAACCATTACAATGTCAATGAAGCCATGTTTTCTGGTTGAACATGGTTGAACACAAACGCTATAAATTTTTGCTGTTTGACTATGGTTAGGCTCTAACGATATCTCATGTCTGTTGATTGAATATCGTTAATGTTCCGCATTTTCACTGGCTAAATATGGATAAATATGGCAAAAATCCTTGAAACCATGATTATTCTGACTAGGTACAATCAATTCTCCTGGCTAACTATCGTCAAATATCCCAAGTTTTGCGACTTGAAGATGTTCAAGAGTACTTAACATATCTAATGGACTGGTTGATAGTGGTTGAAATTCATACCAAGTACCGATTCCCATATTTTTCGCACGTTTTTTTAATCTTTCCCGGCCCCAGTCGCTCCTAGGTGCGACTGCTGCGGCTGCTGCGCTTTGCTGCGCGCTACGACTTCCGCTTGGACACTGCGGTGGTGGAGGCCGCGGAGGAGCCAAAGGTGCACCAGGCTGGGAGGAGGTTGGTTTTTCACTCCTGTTTTGTTTTTTTCTTTGTTTTTCTCTATTCTTATATATATATGTATATCTATATATGTATGTATATATATATATACATACGTATATTGACCCATTAGAATGGGATTAGCAAAGGGATTATTAGTGGCATTAAAAATGATTCATAGATCTCTTTGATCTGTGGGGGTAGCTGATTGGTTTTGTTGTTCCTTGTGTGCATCTGTAAATTTCTCTCGGTTTACTTCTTTTTTGGGGGGGCAGATGTTTTTGTTGGTGTTTTGTTTGGACAACAATAACTGTATGCCCAATGGAGTATGTTGTTTTATGTGGAGTGGAGATTTGGGAAAACCGCAACTGAATGGCAGATGGAGCCCACCTTTCTGGTTCCGTGTTTGCAGCGCTGGGGTAATTGTTCGGCAGAAGACTCCGATGGAAAGCACTTTTTACTAGTTGTTCATATGTGTTAATGTTAAAACCAGGAGGAAAAACATGATAAATGAGTCAAATGTTTGAGAAGGGTTTGTAGAGAAATTGATGTCACATAATGTGTAATGATTGCAGTATTTTTTGTTTTTCAAGTTCAACATGGGCCCAGTATAATTACCGCATGGTTGCTATGCCAGAGACACCTTACGTTGCCAACAAAGCTGGTATCAATGTACTCGATGTGAGGTGGACATGAGTTTATGTTGGTTTGGAAGAGCCGATTCTGTGTGTTCTGTTGACCCATCCATTGCTGCTTGTCTAAATTTGTTTCTTATTGCATTGGAGTGATGCAGCGGCTGCGCCAAAAACAGTTACTTAAGTGATGCAACTCCAAGTTGTGTGAACCCAACATATTCCAAGCACTGTACAATTGTGGGTCGTTACTAGGTAGGATCAGGTGCCACAACCCCAATCAACTGTAGGCAAGAACTATCCTCATAGGAAGATCTTTATTGATTATGAAATCCCATTTTCTGAACTGGTGAAACTCCACCGTTTTTGGATGGTTACCAATGATATGTGCACACACACAGATATATATATATAAAGAAATCGTTGTGACAGGTCGTTGTAATAATATATCATAGATTATCCTATCAGTCATATCACACCAGCATACTCCGACAACGTACAATGACATTCCATACAATGTGACCACCGCCATTTATAACTTGTTATATAAACCATTATGAACCCTATAGCTATAGTGTGCTATAGTTATAAGTTATAAGTATCATAAACCATAGCTACTGGAGGTATATATATATATAGATATATAAACCAACTTGGCTATCGTTTGGGGTCCCCACGTCTGCCAAGTGCCCCTGTGCCAACCGTTAGGATCATCTAAAAATCGTGGAGATTTGTGGTTGGGGTCACCACTCACCATTCACCATCCAATTGTAGATACATTTGCGAAATGACCCAGTTCTCCTTAAGCAAAACAAGTCAGTATATGCCAACTAACTGATTATATACTTATTATCGTTTCAGGGCCCTTTCTGCAATCATCCAATACTCCACCTAAAAAATAATAATAAGCCATCCATACTTAGTTTCAAACTATATAAACATAAGATTTATGCAGATTCAACCAATCCCCCCAGTTCGGTGATCGGTGACCCCCCCAATACTACTGTAGATGGTTGATAAGCCCATGCACCAACTGCAGAGATGATACTCCTGCTTGGGGCGTTGGGTAATGAAGCCCAGTTGGGATATGACTAGAACCAACTTAACCATAATTGGTTAGAAGTTAGCATAGTTCACCATGGCTATAGTTATAGTTAAACTATAGTTAACCATGGTAACTTACTATAACCATGGTCAACTATAAACTATGGTTTAAGAACCATTAAACTATGGTTAAAAAAACATTTTGACAATCTCCAAAGTGAACATAAACCCTAAACTAAACATCGCCGAATTTTAGTGGAAATTCATCTTCCAAACCATGTTTGGCAATGGCAGGATCTATCTTCAATTGTATACATATATGAGTAACAAGGGAATAAACACACATATATATATACACACATATTTAAGCAAAAACATAATATACATACATATATACATGTACATATATAAATATAATTACACCGCGCATGTGTACACATATATTTATATATATATATATATGTGCACTATCTATCTATATCTATATCTATCTATATATATATATACACATGCTATATGAGCCATTTTGAACTATCCGGTGAGGTAACAGTTCCACGTTTTTTTAGGCCCTGGTGGATCTCTTCAACGGCTTCCGCGGCCGCGTGCTCTTCGAGGTCAAGAAGGTGACAGCGGGGTTCACCCGAACACCCAGGGTGGGGGATCCCTCGTTTTAAGAACCCCCAATATGTAAGGCGTAGGGAAAATGATGAGAAGATAATGGAACATGTTTTAAGAACCCAACATTTTATACAGGGGCTTATTACTTTTACTAGGGGACTTCTCTTGCTTAACTATAAACAAAATAATCGGAACTTATATAATAGGGACTACTATGGGTATAATGATATATACAGTATACACAATTCCTATTGGCCAATAACGAACCAAGATTTGATTGATTAAGTTACTGGGACTTATGTTACTAGCTAATTTGTTACTAGCTTAAGTTACAAACTGTAGGGTTGGAACACCTATCAACCAACAAGCATTTCATGAGATGGGATAGGGATATTTGTTGATGGCTCACACACACAGACGCCCTTACACACGGAGGCTCCCCTTTCCAAGTTTGGTTTTGAATGGGAGTTGGAACTTTTCTTTGATTTCTTTTAGACGACGTTTCGGGGTGAGACGTAAATGGGAAACTAAAGATGGATGAACTAGACATGAAATGTGTTTTTGCTGTGTATTTTGGGGTGACTTTTAGTTGTGAACATTGAGCCCGACGGATTTCTCCGCATGTTTGCTCCAGAAGAGGCGGACCGAATCATTCAGATGTTCAGTCCTATAAAAGTGGGTACCGTAAAAGTATTTAAAGTATCGGTTATCATATGAGTCATATGAGTTTTCAGAGTGTGTGTTTTTTGTTTTTAATGGATATGTGGATAATTTCTGCCTGCTTTTGATTTAACGAGGCCTTGTTGCTGCACAACCAGCCCTGGCGCTTCCTGGAATTGTGCGGAGAATGTCAGGCCTCTCTCCGAAGGGTTTCACTTCGACAACAAAATGTGGCGGTTGCGAACCGCACCAGGGGAACAGGGACAACCAACTGAAGAACCCTGAAAAATTCATCTGGCTATGGATCAATACCTATACATACCATTTTTAGTGGGATGAACATCCATTTACCAGCTATTTTGATGTTCACCAGGGGTACAAGGTTTTGACACACTGCCATCTAAATCATGGTGATGACTATTTGCTGCAAGACCCTGATAGTAACTACATGTAACTACTCAATGATGGTTCGAACAAAATATAGCTGGTCAACAACGAAAAAGGCGTTGGCGTTGGGGGTTCAGAAACCAAACCAGGAATGTTCAATCACAGGGTGGTACCGACATTTTTGTATGTATAAAACGAATCGAACTGACCCCTGGACCATACCCCATTCCAAGTGAAGGGGGTTTGTGGAAGGATTCACAGCATTGGAGGTGTTGGAGGGCTTGGGATATGCATCAGAGGCAGTTTCAAATCACCTTAGCATATACCATCATAAATATACCTGCACCCCAATTGATCCCCAGAAAATATCCAAAAATTATATTTACCCCAATAGTTTAGGATGTTCATTTGTTTCTTCTAGAGGTACTGTGAGAGTCAAGCTATCACATGTAAAATATCAGCATGAGTCTTATTTATGGGTTATAGCCTATAGCTAATGTCAACCCCAGATTAATAAACCACTAGGTTGTTTAATTGGCATTTGGAAGGTGCCATTTAACTATCAGATTATCACGTTTGTGGGGGCAGCCCAAAAAGTTTAATAAAACCACGGTTTGTTCATCCAGGGTTGCTATTATTGGTCTATGATTACCCTCTAGCAAATTAACATAGCTATTGAAAAAATGGCAACTTTTGGATGATTTACCAATAGATATTATAAAATGGTGATGTTCAATAGTTCCGCTAGTTTACCAGAGGGTACCACATCATTTGTCATCAGTTAATCACCACGAATCACTACAATTCGTAGCTATGATGTTTATTAATCACTAATTAATCACTATAAATCAGTTTATTTCTTACCATCACCATTCATTACTATTAACTTTTAGACTTTCCCATAGATTCACCACTTCTATCCCCAAGTCGGATACTCATCACCTCAGTCCTCGCGTCGCGTCGCGGCCTCGCGTCGCGGAGGTGGAAGATCTGCTCTTCGGCCCCCTTGGAGCGCCCAGAGCCTGGCCCGGCGCAATACGCAGCGCACGGCGCGCCTCGGAGAAGCGTTTCCAGTGCCGGAAATGGCTGGAAATGGCTATGGAGTTTGGGAGTTTAGATGATTTTATGGCGATGTTTATGGCATCTAAAATATCTAAAATTGCATTTGATTGATGGATTTGATAGTTAATGCTGGTGAATGATTTTCATGGTAATGATGGATGAACAATTGATGGTTTTGATGGAATTTTATGGCACTGTAGTGTAGTGAATGAACACATGTTCTGGAGTTCTGGTGATGGGATTTTTTCTGCTATACAAATGACAAGTGGTAATGCGGCACGCCATGTTTCATGAGGGCTTCAATAAACCACCATCAAAACGTCTCCGGAGAAGGTGTTATCACCTTCTCAGGAAGTGTTTTGAATGTCTGGGCATTTATCAGCCACTATGAACTCCCACTAGCAGAGTATGAGTGCTAATCAATTGCTAAGACCTTTTCTGGGAAACATGTTGCTGAATGGTTTGAACATGTTTGAACTAAACCGAATAGGACTGCAACAAGCAGAAATTTGTGTTTTCTCTGTCCCCATTTGGGGCAGCGCAGCTGCTCTGAATGAAGCTGAAAAAAGCTGGAAAACACTGGACGTCATTTGTTTAAATGTATGCAATCTAATCTGTATCATTAACAATCCATCATTTTAATGTGAACATAAATCATTTGTGAACGATAAATACATCAACAAGCATAAGTAAGTGAAACCAATAGATACATAGCCCATACCAGATGGTATATCGCCTCATATCCCTATATATTATATATATATATTATTATATCCCTATTATACCTCTCATTATACCAATATACATAGCAATATATATATATAAAGACTACCCAATTCTATACATATGTCCCCACTATACCAATACACATAGCGTATACATAGCATGTATATATATAATATAATACACATATACAGAGATATTGGTTCTTTTATATGTACAGGGTATAATGTGTGTAAAACAATGTCATAAACCATCCCCCAGTCATCACCATCTTTATAGGTTGCATGTTGACCATTCCCAGTCATGGGTGGTATATGGCATTGTTTTACCGAGATTAATATTACCATATATTGTGGATGATATATCTGTAATGATTCACAATCAACTGAGATAGATCTTGGGCAATAGTCCAGATTTTTTTTGTGGCAATATCTGGTGAATTTTGGTCTATAAAATATGAAAAAAAACATGAAAGCATCTCTGGTCATATCTGGTGATTGTGAAATATTCCAATAAAATTTCCAGACCTCGTGCGCTCGTTTGCCTATCGGCCTATGGGAAAGGATAGGATCATTCGCCATACCTGAAGTGTGTTGTTGATGGTTCAAAGGCCCATTGTATGAATGTTCCATAATTAGATTATAACATAATGATAATCAATATAATCTAATAATCTAGCTATTTTATCGTAACATTATATAATATAGCTAACATATATTTTTGAAACCCAAGCCAATATTGATTATGGCCTATATATTATTGGATTATTACTGGATTATTACCTAGAACACCAATAATTTTCCATAATTAATATTAATCATTAATCCAATAACCCAAGATATTACCCTCCGGTTATTTAACATAGCCATGGAAAATCACCATTTTTAATAGGTAAACCATCTATAAATGGGCCATTTTCCATGGCTATGTTAAATAACCAGAGGGTATTTAGTTTTTATATGTTTTGATTGTGTTGTTCTTGCTTCTCCCTGCAAGGCCTGGGACAGCTGCTGTTGTTTGGCCTGGACAGTGGCCAGATCCAGGCCAAGTCTGAGCGTTTCCGGGGACGCCACGAGTCCAAAGGTGGGCGTGGGATGGCGTGGGGCGCCGTTCCGAAGGGGTGATGAAGGGTGGTGAATCTATGGAAAATCCATGGAAAATCAATGGTTAAGAATGGTTAATATAGTGATGAATGGTGATTCATGGTGTTTTTTGGTGATTCATAGTGATTGAGAACTGTAAACCGGAAAATCGTGGGAAATCTATGGGGTTTTTATTGGGAAAATCGATGGAAACCAATTTGAACAATATTGAAACCCACGGCCCCATGGTTCGGGATCGATTTTATCAGAACCCCCTGTATTGACCAACAATGGTGATGTCCATAGGAATTTTTGGATAAATGGTTTGTTTTTCGTGAGATGATGGTGGTATTTCTTGGGATATTGTTGTTATAGTGGGGAACATTTGATGTGATATTCTTGGTGCAATGCGGAGATCATGTGAAGTATGGTAATAGCAGCGGTCTTAACCGTATGTTGGGAGATTTAATCACCTGAAAATGTGGTGTACAACTAACACTTTGACGTGACTTTATGGCCATTTATGGGTATACCATGAGAGATCAGAAGGCGATGTTGTATTTTCCATATCCAGCATGACTGGGGAATCTAAAGAATGTGTGGTTGTTTTGCTGGAGCCCCTCAAGCAAATCGGAGAGGAAACATGGGCAAACCGACTGATGACTGGTTGCAAGGGTCAAAGTCCCCGCGTCAAACAACGAAAATTGAACACATTGGGGAAAGACAGGTTTATCCGTCAAGAATACCTGATGACATACAAAATTGGGAGATTTGCCAACCCAAGGTGATATCCGACATGAAACATCATGAAACCCTACAAGGATCTATAAGGGTGTAACCTGAAACAGGGGAGGTCTCACAAAATACCAGCGGATCTAATCATGAGTAAAGTCGTTGCTGGCAGTCGATTGGTGGTTGGGATCTCATCCTTTCCTTGAAAAGGGCCCTTTTTTGCAGATGACTCATGGCATCGTAACAGATTTTCCTGCAGCTACAGATTCTGAGTCGTCAAGGTTCATATCCAGATAAAGTAGATAAATGTTTTTTTTTTTAATAAACAAATATATATATATATATATACATAGGTAGATAGATAGATTGATTGATTGATAGATAGATTAGATAGATTAGATAGATTAGATAGATTACATAGACTAGATAGATTAGATAGATTAGATAGATTAGATAGATTAGATAGATTAGATAGATTAGATAGATTAGATAGATTAGATAGATTAGATAGATTAGATAGATTGGATAGATTGGATAGACTAGATAGATTAGATAGATTACATAGATTAGATAGATTAGATAGATTAGATAGATAGGATAGATAGGATAGGATAGTGTAGATTAGATTAGATGACATAGATTAGATAGATTAGATAGATAGGATAGATAGGATAGGATAGTATAGATTAGATAGATAGATAGATAGATAATTTCCATGGGTTTCCAATGGGTTTCTATGGGTTTTCATCGGTTTATCATTGACCAGAACCGCCAGGTATGCCCGTCCCCTTGCTGATGCCTGACTGGCGAAAACTTGGGGTTTGGGAGCCTTGACGGCGAAAAACCTGCTGAGAAAAGGTCTGGAGGCTTCCCATCTGGTTTAGCCATGGAAAGATCCACCATGCTATTAATAGGTAAACCATCTATTTCTATGGGCCATCTATACCATGGCTATGTTAAGTAACCAGAGGGTAACAAATAAAATATAGTAACATGTCGTATAGTGATGGTTAACTAACTTAAATAGACTGATAACTAACGTTCGTGATGTATTAAGTCGGACTTACAGGATAGTTCACTAACAATTGTAGTGATCGACGGTGATTAATGTGTGATTGATGGGAACGACCTCACTGCGACCTCACTGCGACCTCACTGGAATGACGGTGAATGTGTAGGGGAATTATTTCCCCATTTTTTCAGGTGAGTGAAATAGTATAATTGATCCACATTTAAAAGGATTATATAGTTAGCTACATTTGCCTGTTAAGATAGGGTGATTTTCCATAGCTATGTTAGTCATAACCAGTGGGTTCTAATACGAACACGTTTAGGATGGTCAATAGATGTGTGGGATTCAGTGGTTTATTCCATGCAAATGGTCAGTTCTTGGGGACGCTTGGGACAGACGGGTTGTTTTTGATGCAGGAAGATTGGGCCAGGAAAAAAGAATCCCCTCCCAGCTATATCCACGAATTCCAACTGTTTAACGTTTTTTTGCTTGAACCTTCGATACTAATCTGGTTGGTGGTTTGGAACATGGCTTTTATTTTCCATAATATATTGGGAATAATCATCCCAACTGACTAAGAGCATGGTGTTTATTTTTGCAATCCCAAACTGGTTGGTGGTTTGGAACATGGCTTTTATTTTTCCATAATACATGGGATAGTCCTTCCCATTGACTTTCATATTTTTCAGAGGAGTTGAAACCACCAACCAGTTAGGATGGAGCATCCTATTTGGATCAAAGATGCAAAGACAAAGGCTAGACAGCCTGTACAGCTGCTTAGCTGTATGATGTGGCGCACCCAACCGTAAACCAAAATGGGGTTCACGGGATGGTCAGTTTACCACATTATCCCATGCTGGTTACCCTTTGGTAAACTAACATAGCTATTGAAAATGGTCATTTATAGTGGATTTTCCCATTGAACATGGTGATTTTCCATAGTTATGTGACAGTTTACCAGAGGGTAAATCCTTTTATTTCCCATTTGGTTGGCGTTTTTTCCCGTTCATTCTCCTTGGATTTGATTGGTGAAGCTCCGGTAGTTGTTTCACGACTATCCCTGGTTAGCCGGTTGTTGGTTCACGTTGGTTCACTAATGACTCGTCACAGTCTCCAAAAAGTTGCAACATTTTTTTCCCCATCATTTCAAGGTCTCCATTTTCACCTGCAAAGTGAAATAGTTTTTCTTAATTCAACTCGTCCTTATTTTTCTCTTCTTCTCCCCCCTACTCCTCCTCCTCCTACTTCTCCTTTGCTCCTGGTATGCTCCTCTTGCAGCTTGTCGTGACTGTGGGTTTCAATTGTTGTGAGCCATATCACGAGCTCCGGATGCAGTGGGCCACGCCTGGACCCGAACACATGCCAGAGAGAATGCAAGAATGAATGCCTGAAAACTGCCAGATAGAATGCCAGAGTAGATGCCGGAAAGAATGTCAGAATAGATGACAGAAAGCATGTCAGAATGTATATATTATATAATATGGATGCCAGATAGAATGCCGGAAAGAATGCCAGATAGAATGTCAGAGTATATGCCAGAAAGAATGTCGGACAGAATGTTATAGTATGATAGAGTATGCCAGTATACTTCTAGACACTCCCAGATGCTATGTCAGAAACCATGCCAGAATAGACAGAATAGTGTGTCAGGGTGGGGATCACTCGAAGAAAGTAATTCTATCCTTTGTTACGGCTGTCCAATTTTTCTATACTTCAAAAGGTTTTCAGGTCTCCAACTTTTTCTATTATCGGCAACAACCAAGCAAAACAAATGGCCTGCACGTTTAACCCTCCAGTAAATTGAGATCGACCCTGCCAGATAGGGGTTGGAAGATTAGTTTTCACTAAAAGGTTGTGATTTTTGGTGTCAAACAGCTAATTTACCACTTAAATGCATGAATTTTCAGGATCTACACAGTGAATTAACATGAAGTAATGGGAGATTCGTATATATGAGTGAGATCTCATCTATTCTCATCTATTATAGGAATAACCCGACATTTACCATGTAGGGTCACAGTTTCACCGGCGAGGAAAACGACTGGCTGGAGCTGCTCTTGGCCGCTGTCTGTTGGTCCTTGGAGCCTCTGGCCGTGCGGCAACTGATGCAGCACTTGCAGCTGTCGAAGCCCATGGGTGGCCCAGCTGGGTTTTCCGAAACGGGGAAAAGCCCTTGGGAAAGGGGTGATGGGATGAGACATGGGAGACATGGGAAGAGACATGGAGATGTTTTTTTTTTCGTGAAAATGGATGAAGATGTGAGAAACTCAGATAGTTTCAGGAGATGGAATTTATTCGACATCCCCAGACTTGGAATTCAGAGTGTGACCCAGTTTTTTCATCAAAACTGACAGTTTTGAGAGCGGTTATAAAATCACCGTGACCCCTTTGTTTCCAGTTTTTTCGTGGGCATTTCCTTGGGCCAAACAGATCAAACTTGCCAAAGGACACTCTTCTAATTTTTTCTTTGTGTGTTGGTTGCGCGTACCCACTCTCATTGGTGAATTTTATCTCCATCATTACCCATGACATTTCTTGTTTTACACCATCAGCAACTAGTTACTACATGTTACTAGCTGGTTGGTGGTTTGGATCATTTTTTATTTTTCCATATATTGGGAATAATTTACTTCCATTTGACTTTCATATTTTTTCAGAGGGGTAGGTATACCACCACTCAACCACCAACCAGAGTAACTAGTTGTTGAAAGTTTCTGCCCTGACATCTTCAGGAACCTCCTTGATTTTGATGATGTTACCTGCAGTGTCACTGGGCTCAGCTGAGGATATCAATGGGAATCAATGGAGCCTGAGATTTTTTTTTCCGCAAACTTCGTTGATGTCGAAGATGCACAGTCTGCACAGTAACATCAAAATGATATACTCACATTATCTCACATTATAACATGATGTTGAAAAACCAATGGCGGACTTCTGAATAGTCTTGGGATCTCATGGGTGGTTCCAACTTTAGTTTCCCAGGCGGCAGTCCAAAATCTAAAGACAGTACGATTTCATCCGCGCACCCGACGGCTTCGCCGCTTCGCGTTGCGGGCGCGATCTGATTTCAGCTATGGTCATGCTAGATGTCCTTATCTCAGAGAACGGTCAGGACTGTCACCGGAACATGGCGCCACATGGCGCCACATCGGCATTTTGCGAATGGGACAAATTCCATGGGAACTAGCCGACTAGACAATTTACCAGGAGGCTTGGTCCTGGTTGGTGCTTTCGAAGTGTTTCAAATGTGTACTGTATCCTTGGCTGTCCCTTCGGTGATGAATCCAGCATATGCTGTACATCAAAACCACATCTCCTGCACTCTTGAATTGGCACCAGTCTATATGAGAAGAAGATATTGAGGAGTGTGATATAGTGTGATCCCAGTTGACAAGCATATGTTCTGTATCGGGTTGCACCATCTTATGTCTTTAATTGAAGTAAATGACAGGATCACAGAATTGGGTGATGGGAAAAGATGGAAAAGTTGAACCGGAAAACTGGTGAGCCCAACAGCGCAGAGAATATTTTGGGTTTCATAGATTAAAACAAACAAACAGAGCAAACAAAAAAACAAACCAGAAAACCAAAAACAAGAAAACACAACAAAAAGAACAAAACAAAAAGAAAACAACACACCGACAAAAAAACAAAAAAAGACAAAAAAGAAAAACAACTGAAGAAAATGCAGGTTTGGTTTTTATTTCTTGTTCTTTTTTTGCTTTTTATGGTGAATCTTCCCGTTGGGTTGTTTTTTTGGTGATTCTGTTTTTGATTGTGTGATTTTTTAGATTGTTTGCTAACATCAGCTGGGGTCTTAAAGGAAAATCCATGAAATGTGATGGTAAAAACCATGGTTTCCGGTTAAGATTTTCCCTTAAACCAATCCAATGAGAGCATAGTGTATTTCCATTTCCACGACGTATCCGATGGTGGAGGACGTATTGACCACCGTGCTGGAGCAGAAGGTGGGCACAATTTCAAGGGGGCGGGGCCACTGAAAATGGGATGACAAGCTACAATAGCACTACCAAGGGGCGATTTTTTACACTGTTTGATGTAAGTTCTCTCATATTTTTTCCTAATGAGTCTTAATGGACGGGTTGCAGTATTCAAGGACAGGGTATATGCTCCTCACCATTTGAATATATCTGGTGCAACCTCAAAAACGAGCAGATTTTCCGATGATTTTTCTACCACCAACGGCTCTGATACAGTACATACCACGATGGATGGTAAGAACATTCATTGTCGATAGCTATACGGCCACAATCATCTCAATCAATGCAATGTCGTGCTGACCATGGCTGTAGTTAGATGCCAAAGTATGTTCAGTATGTTCCATTGATTTCGTTTGTATAACAATCCATACTCACAGTATTCCGATGAGATTATTTGTTTGCTGGTTATTTATCCACTTGAATTGTTCCACTAGTATGTCACTACTATATCTCATGTTGCTGTCATTTGATCAAGTATACCTATCTATCTATTTATCTATCTATCTATCTATCGATCTATCTATCTATCTATCTATCTCTCTCTCTCTATCTATCTATCTGTCTATCTATCTATCTATCTATCTATCTATCTATCTATCTATCTATCTATCTATCTATCTATCTATCTATCTATCTATCTATCTATCTATCTATCTCTCCCTCTCTCTATCTCTCTATCTATCTATCTATCTATCTATCTATCTATCTATATATATATATATATACATATGTATGTATGATAAATATGCAAAATGTAACAATATGTAGACTTATGTATATATATAATAATAATAATCATCATATAATATTTAAACATATGGGTAGCCCCCCTGTTAAAACGGTAGTGATGTAACAATAAGTGTGCGTATATGTGTGTGTGTGTTCATATATTATTTGTATAGGCAACGGTAAACCATGTTTAAAAAAATCCATGATTTAGGAATTCGTTTGTTGCTTGGGAAGCCTCCACGTTCTCTCCTCATTGATCGTTTTTTTTTGGTTGCTTTATATCATATTGTATCAATGTTTTGTTGGAAAGACTCCCCAATGGTTTACCGTTTCAATCACCATTTGCTGTCAAATGTTACACCGCTAGTTTTAGCTTTTGTCACTGGAATCCCCATTTTCGACGTTAGCATACTCTAGCGTAAACCAACATAGATGTCGAAAATCAATCATTTGTAGACAAGTTTCCTGTTTTTTCCTATAGGTTTTCCACATATTTGACGCTGGAAAAACGGCCACAGGAGCGGTTGCTCAAACTCGCTGAACAGCAGAAGGCTGTTTGGCAGGCTGGAGCAACGATTGGAACGGTAGCCTGCAAACCCTCCAATAGACGGGAAACCAAGCATTTCAGAGATCATTTTCTTTGGACAGTTGGAAAGCCCATGAGTTTCCAGTTCCCACATGTATATATATATATATAATTATATATATAAATACATACAATACATGTGTGATGTGTGTGTGTGTGATATATATATATATATTCATGTGTGTATCACATATATATATATATGTGTGTGTGATGTTAAGGTATCCAAACAGCATAGGAACTGAAGTAGCAAAGATGAGGATATGGACATAATTGGACTATTTCATCAGGAATCAACAAGATGAAAACTGAACAGTGCATAGTACTGTGCTTGGAAGAAATCCTGCACCACATTGGATGGTTGAAACCCATGAGGCAAACCATCTACATCCATCATCATCCATCTACCAACTGGTGCAGGATTTCGCAACCATCCACTCTAGTTCAGTATGTGCGTTATATAAAGCGTTACCCTCTGGTTATTTAACATCGCCATGGAAAACACCATTTTTAATAGGTAAACCATCTATAAATGGGCCATTTCCCATGGCTATGTTAAATAACCAGATGGTATATTTTTTATGTGCTGACTTGCCAAAGATTGACCCTGAAACGCTGGGGTTAGCCGGCTTAGCCAACGAACTTCGGCTGCGTCCGTGAGTTCACTTGGGGATGGCCGACCACTAGTTAAGAGACATTCCTTTTGAACGATTAATGGTGGTTAATGGTGGTTAATGGTCGTTAATGGTGGTTAATGGTGGTTAATGGATGGTTAATGGATGGTTAATGGATGGTGATTTGTTTGTTAGATTGATTTGATTACCTCGGAGGAATTACCAACGGTTATTTTTTGCTGAATATCCCACGTCTCTTAGCATTTCCGTTCATTGAATTTCCATCTAGCAGTCTCAGCAGATTCAAAAGTATTGAGATCCCAATTTCAGAGAATATCATGAATCAAACATATGAAATTCTCTGAAACATTGATATCAAACATATGAGAATATCATCAATTATTGAAACCCCCATTATTCTCATATTGAAACCCCAATATCATGAGGGGACATTGGGATATGATCATTCTCTGGTTCACACATTGAAACCCATGAAATCCCAATATCACTTGGGTGACGTCCAAATTTTCTGCCCGTGAGGACGCCCTGACAGAGGCCTTCAATGCTTTGGAGTCCGCGCAATCAGGACCGGTGGTTTTCGCCAAGCGTTGAAACGGAAAACGGAGAGATGGGGAGAAAACTCCAGACCTTATGAGAGATTGGGAGAATATGATGTCCAATGTCAATATGGTGGTTACATATCAGAGCATATGAGTTGAAAACAAAAGTGCTTCACTTTGCAGAAACAATCATGAAACATCTGTATACGAGTCCAGCGAAAGTCCTATCCGTGTGACAAAAGGTCACTTTTCAGATTTTCTTTTTGGTCAGATGAGTTTTGGTCATTCCCCTGGAAAACGACTGGCCGCCCACCAACTGGCCGCCAAGGCTCTCCGCAAAGTCGCTCTGGTCTCAGAAGCTTGACGCAACGATCCCCAGGAATGTGAAACTGACTGGGATATTTATAAATATATATATACCCTCTGGTAATTTAACATAGCTATTGAAAATGGTCATTTATAGTGGATTTTCCCATGAAAAATGGTGATTTTCCATAGTTATGTTAGTTTACCAGAGGGTATATATATATATATCTATGGATGGATGGATGGATGGATGGATGGATAACCTTCAACAAGGCTGGGTGATGCAGCAGTTTGTCCAGTAATGATTCAGTAATGAATTTGCCCCTATGATTTCTAGATGTTGTTTCGTTTTGCTAGCCCTAGCCAACAAAAAAACAACATCTTTTTGTTGCTTTAAGAAATTTTGAGCATTTTCATGTAGTGTCACATGGGTCTCTTTCTAAAAACAGATGCTTGGATGACTTTCCCCACTTAACTTGCTATTTGGCGGACATGGATTTTCACTGCCCAAAATTTCCCAAACTTGGTTCGGAGTAGTGTTCAGGGTTCTGATTTAAATATATATATATATGTATGCATATTATATATATACAAACATATATATATATATTATACGTATATTATATATTAAATAAATAAATAGATAAATAAATAAATATTATATATATACATGCAGGGGACCTTGTTTGATGGTACGGACCATGGTTTTCCAATATCAAACTTCAGTCAATCATCCTTCAGTCAATCATGAACCTCCAACTTTGAGACATCTTTGACAATTGTACACACATGAGTCCGGTGATGCTCAACCATCAAATTTGGGGTCTAACGGCATTTACCCCATTTTCTGAAGCCCCCAAACAAATCAGACACTCTCAAAGTCTAGAGCTTGTATTCTGCCAAAAATGTTTTGTTGATACCACCAAAAATTCTTCGGGTTTTCTCCATGTTTTGTTGAACCCTCTTGAACCATCTTGCGGCGAAGCCGAGGCCATTTACGGCCCAGCTCCAAACCCCCCGATTTGCGGGGCGAATCTTCGCCCAAGTCGCCCAAGTCTGCCAAGGTGTTTCACCGTGGGGACTGGGTTGTTTTCCTTTGGGGAGCTATGGAGCTGAAGGGAAAAATGGGAACACTATTTTTAAAAAAAGTTGGATGAAGTTGGTTTCATTCAGCAACAAAAATCCAATGGCCCAAGATGGTCCAAGGTTTTGTTGGATGTGAAACAATTCTTGGATTTGCTGAAGGATGTGGCTAGATTCTCCAACTTTTCACGTGGATCCAATTGGCTGGTGGCTATCCACTGGATTTTGGGGAATGGGATTTGTTCGATACCCATTTGTGGTTGAGCCGCGTTGCCTACCTGCCAGGGTAAAAAATAGCTCATCTCAAGGGTCTAAGCCCGAAAAACAAACTGGACTAGGGACTAGGGAAGAACTCAAGAAGGAAATATATGTGCATACACACACACATATATATATATATACACATTATATATTGGTCATATGGGGTTTATGGAAAATCCTATTTAACTGGATGGTTCAGGGGTATCCCCCATTTTGGAAGACTCCATATACATATATAAATATATATATATATATCATTGTATATATCACATTTATGTGTTGTCTCCATTTATCTCCATGATTACATTCACATACATTTTGGTTGTTTTTTTGTGCGAATAAATGCGTGCTGTAAATATGTGAGGATTGTTTCAAGTCAAGTGAACAATGCTTCACAGGAAGTATCATCAACACATACAGTATTTGCAGTACTCACGTGCTCCAACTGCAATATTGCTCTGTCATTCCAAAACTAGCGGATAAACGGAACAACCCCAATATCACAATTTAAAAGGAAACATTATGATTGACCATCGGATTTCATCAATTGTCGGGGTCCTTACTTTCACACATGACTACTGCATGGTGGCTATTCTTACATATTCAATTCTTACTCTATGTTTTTTTCTGGCAAAGCCAGCAATAAAACTTCAGTTGGGGGACGCTTTGTAGTTTTTGCCATGTCTGATAAAATGGGGAATGTGCCGGGTCATATGCCAAAAAATGGTGATATCATGTTGATGAATGTCACTAAAAATGAAGAATATAGCAAATATATCACCAACCAATCTTTAGTATTGGTGATATCCCTGGTTTTCACCACACCTGGCTGTTTCGCAGAACTCCGGCATACCGTGATCTCTCGCGGAAAAGCCGCCCCAGCGCCACCAAGTGTCAGGTGGTCACCCTGGAAGAAGTGGAAGAAGTGGAAGAAGATGATGTACAAAGCAACCTGGCGATCCGTATGTTTGAGTTCATCGCTGCTTTGGGCCGGAAATGGAGGGTTTTTTTGTCGATTTTGGCCCGGCAATCCGGCAGATTTTCCCACCAAGAGAGAGGGGGATGTACCATGGATTTCACCTATGAAAAGAACTCAACGCGTGGCTCGAACCGGCAACAAAAATATGGAATTCACATGGGTTCACCGGGTTTTTCGGCGCGAAAAATTGATGAAATCGAGCCAGAACTTGTCGTTTTAAAGGTTTGACCGACGAACATTTGGGTTCAAACAACAAACATGAAGTTTTCAAGAAGCAAACAATATGGGAAGGCAACCAATCATGATGCTGCTGGAAACCAACAGAGGTGGAGGAGTTCGCCAAGAACAATGTCATTGGATTTAGGCCAACGCAAGGTTTTGAGTGACCAATTAATATCACTATGTGGATGAAGGCAAGAACATGTTTGAATGTCATTAGGATTGTTGCAATTAGAAACAATATCATTCGGTAGTTTAATATATATATATATAGCTATAAAACACAGATTTTTAAAAAACAATAACAAACATCCATTTATGTTATGATGGTCCTATTCAAGACTGTGATATTCTATAGTTACCTAAATTCCAGAGGGCCAGAGATTTGACAGAGCCGCTGGCACTGGTTCGCGTTCTCCAAAAGCTCCTTCCGAGTGATCCATGCTATTCCAAATCGGTGGGTTTTCCTGGAAAACCATTCCAACCCAGGTTTGTTGGTATAAACACATGTCAGCTCCCCAACTCCCATTTTCAGCCTATATATATATATGTATACAGTATATCTCAAGCCAATGAATCCCGTTGTTTGGGAGTGGTAAAAACATGTAATCATTACGTATGTAAACCACTCCCATTCACAACCCGGCGAGAACTTTCCAATCGACCCTGCCATGAGTTGGGGCTTGGAAGACTAAACATGGTCTTCTTGGGAGAAGTTTTTTCTCGGGGTCTCTACTCCCAGTCAACACTGTGAGACAAAAAAAAGTGATCAAAATAGGTAAACAAAATAAGTGTCTGGGTAAATTTTAACGACCTCACTGTGACCCCACTGGAATCATGGTTTGCATATGGGAAATCATAATTAATTCAGGTTAGTGAAATATTTTGATTTACCCAGATGTGTGTGTTATCCTAGAGGACTGTAGCAGATAATGCCTGCTGGCTAAGAGATTGACAGTAGTATACGGTAGTAAATATCCAAACACCCCTTGGTAATTAATCCTTGGCCACGGAAAATGGCCATGGTAATTATCTGCTTTCATGGCTCATTTTACATTGCAAACTGTTAAATTACCATGAGAAAACTTGGTAGCTCATCCCAGTCGGAAAGTTGTATAGATCCCCACTTATAATCACGGCATGTACCTAAAAAATAGCTGGTTGGTGATTTGGAACATGAATTTTATGACTTTCCATATATTGGGAATGTCATCATCCCAAGCGACGAACCCTTATATTTTTCAGAGGGGTAGGTCAACCACCAACCAGATAGGGTAGGTCGGGGCATGTAGGGGCAATGTCCACTTAGAACCGAGGTGAACTAACACACTTACGATACAGATGGAAATGGCTACTTCCTGTGATCTAGCTTGAAATCATGAAATCACCATAAATTTCCTGATTGAGCATGATAGCTGTTTTTTTAAGTAATATTTATGCCATAATCAACTTCAATCATTTTCAACCACCTTTGTTCTATACTGGTTGGTGGTTTGGCAGGTGCTTTATTTTCCATAATGTATGGGATGTCATCCTGGGATGTCATCCTTCCCATTGACGAACTCATATTTTTCAGAGGGGTAGGTCAACCACCAACCAGCCATATTTTTCTTGATTTACCTATATATTAAGGATGGTGATTTTCTATATGTAAACGTTTACCAGAGGCTAATATTGGATATATTACAGTACCATTTAGTTCGTGAATTTTGACCATTTATAATGAATTGTCCCATCTTTAACCAGTTATTAAACATTATCAGCCATGATTAACCATTATAACCACTATTAACCATTAAAGTTACCCTTAACACACCCATTTTTTTTGGTAATGATATCATTTATTGGATATCATTAACCATTAATTATATAACCATGATATTATCATTATTAACCACTATTACCCTCCAGTAAATTAACATAGACCCCGGCAGATAGGGGTTGAAAGATTAGTTTCCTCTAAAAATTGGTGATTTTCAGGGTCTATGTTAATTTACCAGAGGGTAACCATTATTAAGAACTATTAACTATAGATTTCTCAGCTTCAACCACCGGTTTCAGGCGAAGCGTCTGATGAGATTCTGCCCAGTGCTGGTCCAGCGATGAGCTCCGACTCGCCTGGAGGCAAACGGGGAGAAAAACCGTGGTGAGTCGTGGGTGAATCATGAGAATACCTATGAACAATCCATGGTTAAATGAGAAAACCTATGAAAAATCCTCTTGTTAATCAGATGTTAATAGTGATAAACCATGGTTTTAAATGATGATTCTTGATGGTGAATGGGATGATTCATGGAGAAGTGCGGAAATGATCTGAGTATTCTGAGTATGTTTATGCAAGATAATGATTGATGTGACGATGTGAGTAAAGAATTTGATTTTACCATCCCCAATTGTCAGCCTTTTTATGGGTAGGATTCCAACTCTCAATCCATATGGCTGATTTTTGACATTGCTCTACTAACATTATTTATTGAGGAAAGCAGATGGATTCAGACATGTATATGTGATGAATGATTGCTTTATCTATATGTTTGCTAAACACATAACATTTATGAATAAATGACCATTTATATAACACGCACATAAGTGTTATATGATGGTTCTAATCCATAAACCGTCCATTTTGTTCACATGTAGAACCATCAATGATTTATCTATATGTGATGAATGATTGCAATGATTCCACTTTGTTCACATGTTCATTTATTCTATACAAAATGGACGGTTTATGGATTGGAACCAGCCACTTCGATGGGTTCAAGCAGCATTAGCTAAATATCGTGGACACACGTGGAAATGTGAGGGCCTAACCAACCAACACAACCAGCCAATACAAAGAAACACAGACACACACTGATGTATTGATTATACAATATTATACATACATGCACACGTGCACATTATATGGCTATGGATCAATACCTATAGATACCATTTTTAGTGGGATGAACATCCATAAATCCCAGCTATTTTGATGTGAACTACAGGGGTACAAGGTTTTGACACACTGCCATATATGTATATATACGTCCATAGTAGCAAACATGGTGGATGAATATGGATATTCCCTGCCCTACAAGAAGTGGCAGGTACCAACAGCTCCGCTGCGGCTAGAACCAGGTCCACCAGGTCCAAGTTCTCGAGCCCCGGCCCCGGCAGGTTTTTTCGGTTTTAGGAAGTTCGGCCTTAGAAAAAAAATCAGGGATCAAATGTATGATCAAATGGTAAATCACCATTAATTGTAGGTAAATCAACCATTTTTAATAGGTAAATCAACCGGGATGTGGCCATTTACCAGTTATAAGTGGTGATTTTTATGGGATTATACATTCTATAAATGGGGTTTTCTAAGTACTTATAACTGATAAATGGCCATAACTGTGATCAAATCATCCCATTTTATGGGATGGACATGTGAAAAAAATGTGAAATTGCTAGCCTCCGGATCATCAAGGATGGCTTGCTGGAGAATTCTCCCATTTACTTCGGGGATTTCCCAGCTAGCCATGTGGCAGCCCTGCCCCTGTGGCAGCCCTGCCCCTGTGGCAGCCCTGCCCCTGTGGCAGCCCTGCCCCTGTGGCAGCCCTGCCCCTGTGGCAGCCCTGCCCCTGTGGCAGCTGCATACTGTCCATGCTAGGTCTTTTGTTTCGTCAGTTGTGCTTGTCCAAGAAAAATGGATACCTCAGAAATCCTCAGCAAATACCCTCTGGTTATTTAACATAGCCGTGGAAAATGGCCCATTTATAGATGGTTTACCTATTAAAAATTGTGATTTTCCATGGCTATGTTAAATAACCAGATGGTAAATTGGAAGATGATGCTCAACTAACTGAGTTTGGGGTACCGAATTTTCAGACAGCCAGCCACGTGCTGTCCGATTGATCGATCACTATCACCCTGAAACGAGCAAGAGCCAGGCACTGCTCGGTGCAGATTTTTCGCACTCAAGCAGACGACCTGGTTTTCATCGGAAGTTTGAATTTAAACTGATGTATATGAGTTAGTGTAAGCGAAATTCCTTACCACACGATACAACCCGATATAAATACACAAATATCATCATATATCGACATACCATATTAGTTATTAGAATGTAAACTGTTGTTCTTTTTGGGTGTGCCAATTTTGGGTTCCATGCGCAGTATGCGTCCAGTCACAGAGCTACACCTGGATCATGCCATTTGAATCTCAGTCAATTGTTGAATGAATTGTGTATACAATAGACTATCCCGAAAATTGTCACAGAGGACAGTAGAATTTACATACATTGATGTGGTTGTTCTCGCACGTGATTTGGTCCTCTTATTTTTTTTGCTGGTTTTGTTCCCCTAAATTTATGTCTTTGATTTTGGTGTCTTTCTGAAAATCGATCGAAAATCGGTCGCCGTCCTTCAGGAAAGCGGCCACCATGGCCAAGTTGCTGGACATGGGAAATCTCAACATTGACATCATGCAACTGATCCTTGCCGCCCATCCAGAAAAACTCAAGATGACTGCGGTGAAGAGCCAGTTCACAATCAAGCATCTAACCGAACCATATCAACATGGCAACCATTGGGAACCAAGAAACATGGTGGTAGAGCCATATAAATGCATTACTTCAGAAGCAGCGTGGTTTGATCCTTTCCAAGGTATGATGCCATTTGCCACGCCCATTAGAAAGATGAAACATCTGAAGAAAACACACAGGTGTCACAGGGTTGCCCCAACTAATTGTAGGCAAATAATTCCCAAAAGGCCAAAAGGCGGAATTGGATGGAAATGGATGATTAATCACATCCCCGTAATATCAAACAACCCCCATAGACTATGGTATAGCAGTGCGATTTTCACATATCTGGGACCATTTACAGCGTGTTTAATACTAGATGGATGGGATTATACCTATACATGTAGTGTGTATGTGTATATAATATATTATATCCATTACAATCCATTGTCAACCATTCATATCCATTTAGTATCCTTTTTTTGTCCGTTAGCAACCATATTTAACCATTATAATTTTGCCAATTTCCCACCCCGACGGTAATTCTCCTGAGCCAGATCATAGGCGTTCGGTTCCCGCTGCCCGATTTGAACAGATGCGTACGGTATGATAGCATATGATAGCCACAAAGGTAGCTTGCTTTTGGTCAATTGACATCTTTATCGTCTTGATCCACCAAGTTTGCCACCCAAACGTGACGCGTCTACCCCTCGATTTCCCTTTGTGAGGATCAGTCAATACATTGACTACGCCGCTGGATTTCTCGTGTTGATCAATTCCTTTGCCCTAATGCCATTCGGCGCTGGAGGATACAGAAGCCTACATTCGTGGAAGCCTTTGCGGTTTTTTTTGTCTGTATAGCGACTGTATAGCAACATGATGGATTTGTATCATGAACTTAGATTTGTTGATGATAATTAAGCTTTACACACGGGTTTGCAGTTGTTGGGTGAGAAAGATGGATATGAACTTAGATCGTTTTTGTTTTGCATTTATATTTATTGGGTCAGCCCAACTAATTTCCAGGTGTCCAGTTGTTTGAAACAAATCCAGAGATCCCTTCGGACGGCCACTTCCAGTAAACCTCAACTTCAGCCGATTTCCAAAGTTTAAATCACCATGTTCCAAAAAACCTGTGCATCTGAAGGAACCGGCTAAACTGCGGAAACGTTGAGAGACATGTTTAAATCACCATTTACCAAATATCATGGTAATCACCATTAATTCACGAAAAAATCACCATTAACCATAGATACTCCCATATTAATCACCATTAAATCATGGTTAATAAGGGAAATATACCCCCACATATTTCTGTGAAAATGTTGGGGATTCCACCCCTGTTCCGTGGGGCTTCTTCAAGCCTTGAGGTTGCAGCTTGAGATGGAGGGCTGGCAAGTGGCAGGGCAGATTGGCATGCCGGGAGAAGCTCAGCAAAAAAAACTCATCGCAACAACGGGATTATGGTGATATATGGTGATTTAATGGTGATTTTATGGGAATAGTGGAGTTTTAATGGTGATTTAATTGGATTTGGTTAACCATTATTAATCTGGTTGGTGGTTTGGAACATTTTAAGGCAAATTGTCCATATCTTGGGAATGTCATCATCCCAACTGACGAACTCATATTTTTCAAGATGGTTGAAACCGGATAAAGAGTATATTGAACTGAACAGTAAACGCAAGTTATGGAAAATTGCACATTTGCCTATGAAACGTTGTGTTTCTCCATAGTTCTGTTAGTTTACCAGAGAGTATTAATCGATGGATTTCCTATTGCTTTGCTTTTCACCTATATATATATACATACATATACAGACACAAAAAAAAACACTGAAAAACACGGGCCCTCACAACGTCCCACTCTCTCTCTCTCTATATATATATATATATGTACATTCACCTGGTACTATATGAACATTATGAACATTATGAACCTATATTGGTCAAACTATATTTAATTCATATAAAATATCAATTACTAAACCTTACTATTAACCTCTTGGTTGAATGAAGATACCCACAACTGGAGTTTTTGTTAAGCTCGGCCGTCTTAGCGCACTAGTTTTGAGAGCTGGATTTCTGTGGTCATTTTTCAATTCACCAGGGTGCCTTAAAAATAAGTAAAGAGAGCGAGTGGTATGGGAAGAGGCGACTGCAATCCATCCAAAGTGATATTTTCTAGAATCAATTACTACACTGCGACTTTATTGTGCAAGTTTTTTCTTTATTGAGTACACATGCTTTTTTTTCACATGGATTTGCTGAAAACAATATTCTAGTTTCCCATTGGGAGACCTACCATTTGGGGAACAAACTGGGACTATTTGTTTTTTTTTTGGTTGATCTTTAAGCAAATCCAAGTTCATCATGTATATATCTTAGTGTATAACCATCTGTATACATGTAGAAATACATTCAGAAATTCATGCCGATACCATACTTACTGACCTGTGTCAGTGCATGGAAGCCTCAAAAAGATAGAACAGAAAGTCACCATCAAAATAGTGTCAGTAGAGTTCATTTAGAGTTCATATAGAGAGGACGGATTACATTGAATTACATATTACTATATTTTTTGGTGGGGGGGTGGAGCCGGCGACAGATACGGATATGGCGGATATGGGCCTTACAAAGCTATAATTTCATGGTGAATTGGAGAAGTATTGATATATCAAGTCGGACTTTGTAAAATAATCACAATCATTAACCATAGTGATTAGCCATAGTGATTAACCATAGTGATACCACAATCATTAACCATAGTGATTAACCATTGTTAACCATTATTAACGATCTTTTCCCAAGATTTTCCCAGTTTGAAGCTACATTTTCCCATGGCAGTGCGGCAGTGATGTTGTTTCACAGTCCCCAACGAGTTGGTGATGAAAATGACCCTACCAGGGTTGAATCGTGGTTGGCCACCCCAGGCAAATCCATGAGTCATGAGTTGTATTATGTTTTATTATTATATCCCATATGCTCCATGTATGGAATATTTACCAACATTAACCCTCAAAATCACCCAAATGTAGGTAAATATACCATACATGGAGCATATGGGTATTATATAGTCAAGTGATGTTTATCGAATTCTGTGGTTTCATCCAAGTTTTTGTAGTCATTAAAGTTTCATAGATGCAAACCGCCAGGTTTGCTGCTGAAAAAAGTGACATCAATATTGCAATTATCGTGAGCCCAAATCACAATGATTAGAATCACATTGGACCCATTCTCCTTTCATTTCTTCCATACTATTGGTGACTGCATTTGGGTACAATAGCTTAATGATCGCAAGAGATTGGTAATTCGGTGACCTTGAAAACCATTGACCACTGCCCAGCATCGGCCCTAGAAGGGGCCCTTCTCGATGTTTGGATCGTCCCGGAAAGATGTCCTTCCGAAGCATATTTCCAGACCCATAGGATCCATGGTGCTGCTATATATGGTGACATGGATCCCATCAATATACCCCAAATGTTAGCATATATACCATGGATCCATATGGATCCTATGGGAGATGTCCCGGATGTCCCACTTTTCTATCTTCTGCAGGGTTCCAATGGTTTCCAACATGTTCCAACCAATGATATGGGAGAAATTACCAGGAAATCATAGAAAACCCCGTCAGGGCGTCCCAGCCCAGGCCAACTTTGAAGAAGTTCTTCCGGCCTCCGGGCTGGAAATCGTATGGCGCTTCGGGCTTGGTGGTTGTTCAATGGAATGTGAATGGGATCTGATGAGTCATGTTTAACATTGGGACATCAATGGGATTCAATGATATGTATATATATATAAGTATATATATATGCATATATATATATATATGTGTGTGTGTGTAACATCTGAACAGATGTAAAACTTCTTTTGTTCCAATCTTCTCACATCTGCAGGGGGTGGATGCATGGTCTGGCAGTCATCCACCAACGAAGACACTGCCTTTCCATGGTGATATGACAAAGGGACGCCTTTGTCACGTACCTGCTTTTTTTCGGACATAGCAAGGGGCCAAGCTTAGAACCCCAACAACAATGTTATACAGTTTGCTGCACTGTTGTCGCAATCTGGAATCAAATTTGGCCATTTACGATTAGTTCAGCTGCATCAGAACCTCCCTCAGTACTTTCGCCGAAACCATGTCGCCGACAGTATTTTGATTTTTTGGATTATCTCGCCGAAACCATGTCGCCGATGTATTTGGATTATTTTGTCAAAACCACATCGCCGATCTATAATTTTTGATGACGATCTTGGACACGGAAACCATTCAGGAGAACTTCTATTATTCGTAGGATGCTTCGTTAATTTCGTTGTTTCGTATCTAATCTGCATGTTTCAGGATTCAGTTCCTGCCGGATCATATAATGATCCATTCTTGTCTAGTGTGTGTTTATTTATAATATATATATATTATAACAGCAGTAACAATAAATAAACAATCTGATTTTGGGGTGTGTTTGAACATGGGGCACCCAAATCGATTCATGATTTTTATGTTTAAAGGAAAAGGAATGAACATGATGACAAACCAGTGGATGGAATGGGGTACCAAATTTTCAGGTTGAAACCACCCAACCAGATTAATATGCGTTGTGTGCTGTAAGGTATACTAACTTAGCCGGTAAACAAAAACATAATGCATTCTATTTGAGATTAGCCATGGTAAATTACGCAAATACTATATAGTTCATTTTCATGAGTTCGCATCAATGAGTAGGGAACTAGACATAAAATTTACAAGCATTCATTGAGCAAATCCTCACCGGCCACGCAAGCGCGGGCGCAGAAGCGCCTGGCACGTTGGTCACGCACACAAAGATTCGAAAAGAACGTGGCAGAGGCTGTATTCCAAGAGAAGGAATTCCAAACATCTACTGTAGAATGTAGACACGCCAGGCTCCACACCACCATTAAATATCACTATAGTTATCACTAATTGGGGAAGAATCATCCCATGCAAGTGTAGATTTTTATTAATATATTTAAATGTGTATATATATCTCTCTCTCTCTCTCCGCTATGAATCCAGCAGTCGCCTAGTCACAATCTCAGCGTCATACTGCACCCGTGATTGCACCCAAGATCTCGGGGGTTCGACCTGGTGATGTGGCTTTCACGTTGACGGGATGTCAGAGAACAAGCCTGTGCATGGATGTATAGTGGATTCATTTAAATCGAGCTATAAACTTAAACGGTGCCTTGGTCCAATAGGTATGGGAAGTATACTGCCTGGGCTATTGTGGATGATTAAAACCCATGGTAGGGAAACCTATCAACCAAGTAGAAAGTATAAACAAGGTATTTTTAATGGCCCAAGATTCAGAGTAATTGATTATACACTTCTATACATTTATGGCCAGGGTTCTTCAGGTTGATGTGGATTGAACAGGTTCTTTCCGATGCTCAACCCCTGTTCACTATCATACTTGTACTTGGTGGTGCAGCTGGGGGTACTAGTGGGTATAGTCTCACCATGCTTATAATCACCACATGTTGACAACCCCCGGAATTTCCTCGGTATAAAGCCAGGCAAAACCCATGGAACCGCACACCCCTTCTTCCGGCTTCGGAGTCGTCATGAGGTTTTCCGAGTGGTGGATAGCGTCTTCGTGTTCATCTTCTTTGCTGAGTTGTTGCTGCGAGTCGCTCTGGAAAAAGGTAACTTTGTAAAAGATGTAGCTCGGCTGGTGTAGTTTTCCTGAGCCAACCAGAGATGTGGGTGCTTCCTAATATTGGGCTGACACCACAGGTGTTGAAATGTGTTGAAACATGACCGATTTTGGGGGATTTTCGAGCCTATGTCACAGCCGTTTTTGCTCCTATAGGTATCCAATTCCTGTACGACAATGTTAGCCGTTGATAGCTCATCCCAAATGTATCCAAATGTAACTTATTCATCTGTAAGTTATTGTTTATAAGCGCTTGAGCTAATCTAAGCTAGCTAGTTGTTTATCCCGTCATAATGACCATAGAATTACTATCCAGTCTTCGCCACGAAGAGTTGTATTGTCGTAGCTTGGGACGATCGCAGCCGGGGGCAGCAGAATAGCTTTGTTGCTTGGCCTAAAACACGGAGCCAGATGTGTTAATGCAATTATGTCATATTTCCATGTCTATATCCACATTCATACACCCATATAATATATAATTATATACTATAATGTGTATATATATATATATATTATCGTATTGACGTACATTACACATGCACATGTACATATATGTGCATATATGTATATTATGTATATATATATATATATATATTTATATTCATACATATATTATTGAAAGTTATATATATATATTATTAGCTTATGTGTTTTTTAATATTATATAGTATTATATTATATATTATGCACGCTTTGTCCCACCCCAACCATTTTTCCCACAATGGATCTAGTCCCCCACCCTCTCTGAACGATATATGGAACGGGATATTAATTTTAATTTATCTTCACAGGGGATCAAACCCCGATCTCTCTGAACAATATATTGAAGCACGTATGTTTTTCAAGTTAGCTGGGGGATCAAATCTTCCACCCTTTGAAGAATACATTGAATGGGATATGCTGCTGTTGATTTTGACCCTGCCGCCACCGTCGTAAGCAGTCTATCTAAGTAATCTACTAAATGATATGTTTGTATAAAATATGTATATATATATATGTATATATATAATATGCATATAATATTATTATTACATTTATATTATGTTTATATTATTTTAATATTTTACTATTTTTGAATAATTTATATATATATATATATATTTAAATATTTCTAGAAATATATATAGATATTATTTTTGACTATATATATATATATATAAATATATAAACTGTTTGTTTTATCATATTATATAAATACATATCTTTTATATATATATATATATATATGTATAAGTAAATGTGTATCGATCTATCCGTTCATCTTTTTCCGTTCGACCTTCCCTTTTTTGAGTTGGCCAACTGGCTGGACACGGTGCTGGTGGTGGGTGGCCTAGTGGACATCTTCGTCAGCATGCGCCTTCGTCATCAGCGGTGAGTCGCGACAAGAAATTGGAATTTAATTATACGGTATTTAACAGATTGATAAAAAGCTTTGAATATACAGTATAACAGTAAATATATTGGTTACTGTATATATATATATAATTTAATATTTCTGCTTTAAAAGCTTTGTTAACCAGAAATAAGATATATACAGTATTATTATCATTGTTTATACAAATATGTATATATATACATATTCCATTATGGAAATTAAACATGGTTAACCAATATGATATTGTATATATGATTGATGATGTGATTCGCAGATATAAACAAGCCGTTATTTCATTGGGAAACACGAAAATAGTGTGTCTGAAAATGGGGTCTACCATTTCAGACAATTGTTTAGTATGAACCAAAATCAACCAACAAAAATTGGGATCTACTGCGTGACAACCAAGAAACTGTTGGATTTATATTAGCAATATTTAATGTTGATGTAAATTGGGAAGACCAGTTGGATGGGTAGCAAGTAGTACTGTATAATCTGTTTGTCATAAATGTGTGTATTAATTAACACTTAAGCCGCCAAAAAAACATGATAGCAGCATAATATCTAAAATCGGCCATGTTTTTGGGATACTGTGCCAAGGTGGGAAACATGGGGTTCTGGGTCAAAAAGTCATGCCCAGCGCACCTCGGATTTTGGTTTCAGGGGCTTCCCAAATATGTGACCCACACCCAAATATGCGCAATTTTGGATATCTATAATTTAACGCCATTAACCAAAGTAAATGTCCATTCTCATCTCTATATATATATATGGATCATTGATCCATAAATGTTCAAATGTTCCACTGGTTAAATTGTCCGTGCTTTATAAGACTTAATTGTCCCCGTCAAGTCTATGAAGATTCTACATTTCCATGTCGTAGGGGGGTAGGATCCAAACCCATCCAATTCCACGGCCTTAAAATACTATCCGAAAAGAATCTGACACCGGATCCCCACATATATTATCACAATATATTCCAAAGATTGGCTATATATCCCCATTATCCCATAACAGATCCGCATAAGATGGTAATACACCAGGAATGCACAGTCCGAAGACGTGGCTACCTTGCGTGTCTTGGCATCAGTCAATGGGGCCACCATTGGTTTTTCAGGGGAATTTTATGGGAATTTGTTATGGGATTTATGGGATTTAGAAAGATTTAACAGATTACCGGAAGGTATGTTTTATGAAAAGGAAATAGTGTGGGATTTGATTAATTAAATTTGACCACCATCTAAAATTTTGTAACTAGGTTGCCCCTTCAAAGTAACCTTCACTAACCAATTTATCCATTATATGTTTGGCATGGAAATTGTTCCAATTAGAAGTAGGTAGATTGAGTGGTTTATTTTTGATTTGGACGTGCGATGTGTTTTTTTACCAGATCATTGTGCGCCACAGTTGGGGTTTTCCATGTTTTCCTGTTGAAAAGACTCTTTGTTTATAATGGTGCTTGGAGGTGGTTGAGACTATTTCAAAACAGAGTTTTTAAGCTTTCACTTGAGCCCACCCAACATGTCCGATCCGGCCCGGAGCTTCTGAACACGATGAACATCACGGAAGATCACCCACAAGAAGTTTGGTTGGATTATGTTGGATTGTTGCGTTCTAACATATAAATAAATATATATATATATATATGTTTTGTTCTAACATCATTTCCTATATCTTTATTCTTTATGTATGTGTATATATATATATATGTGTGTGTGTGTTTGAGCGACCCTCAAGACATGTTTTTCAACTGGAAAACTCCGGCATCGAAATCTACGAAGCCCAGGCTTCGTCACGGCTCTCAAGGCCTTTCGTGCCATTCGGATGGAGCCTCTGGCTGCAGTGGAAGGTGAGGCCCGATGTGAAGATCTGAGGATGTGAGGCCCAGTTTGACCCGATTTAGCCGTTAAACGTTTCAGTTTGCGAACTGGAAAATCACCATTTTTAATTGGTAAATCATGGTATGGTCATGGTATGGTCAACTATTTCAATGGGCGTTCATCGATTTTCTATAGCAGGGTAATACTGTAATTCTATTCCCCATAACCCCATCAGTGAATTACTCAAGTTATGTGCGTCAACGTTGCTAAATATATAGTAAACGGGGGCCTCACTTTGTAGCTCCTCACCTTGTAACTTGATAGTATTTTTTTGGGATTTTATGGAGATAGAATGGCGAGATAACCGAGGAATAATTTATGATCATTGATAGCAATGGATACTGTTAGCCCATGCCAAACGATTCGGGATTGAACTAAGTTCCTAATAAACGAACTATTCATTAAACGTGACTTTAATTGTTCATGTCAAATCTATGGCTATGATGATATTGATGGGATGACAAAAACGGTGATAACTGGTGAACATGATCGAACTAATTGACTGGTTCAATCCACTTGACTATTCGGGTTTGTCCGAAAATGGGGGAACCCCAAAACCCTAGGGTTTATCATCAGTTGTCCCTATTACATTATATTAATGGGGTATACCACCATTTTTCAGACACGCCCATTTACAGTATATACTTTGTCTGGGTGAATGATTAATATTATTTCCCCAGTACATGAGGTACCAACTTGGTACATGTGTAAATCTAATGCGTATAATTCCGTAAATATATGTAAATATATAGTGTAGTGCATTATACGCGCTCGTATGCACTGGATTGCACTGGTGATACTCACGAGCACAGTGAAACACATTCAATAAACACATTGAGGTTTTTGGGCCATCAATTTCTGGATGATCTTTACATTTAAGATGTTCCTTACTGTTCCTAACTAACTGTTCCTAAGGAGAGCTAAAAGGTTGGTATGGGTGACTCATACCCCATGCTGACCCACTTTATCCAAGACCCCAAGGTGCGCAGTTTTCGCTTCTTCCGCGGCCTTCGTTGCCCGGCCGAACACCGGGTCCAAAGTGGGGCCAGCGTACACGGGCCTGCTCTATAGGAAGTGAACCACTTTTTATATGTTCCATGTTTTGAATACTTTAGTTATATAAAAATTATAAAAGGGAAAAAAAAAGTCAAGACAAGAAGCAACTTAATCAACCGAATCAACCTACCATTTGTTGTCTTTGAAAATGGGTCACCATTTTCAGGTCACCATTTTCAGGCCCAGATGGCCCCAATATCCTGTGGGTCTCTGTTTGGGCCGAGGTTCATTGGTGAAGGCATGTCAGTGTTGTCTGCCCTCCTTGTGTTGGTCGATGGCCCCTCGGCGAATCAAAACCACTCCGGAAATTTTGAAATGGAAATGGGGAAGTCTCCCAGCGAAAGTTTCGGGGTGAATGTTTGAAGATCATGATAATTACATCATGTAACCCTAAACTGGCAACTCTATTGTACTTTATACACTCGAAACTTGGAGACTCAGACTTATAGTTGAGACCAGATCAGTGGACTTCAGCTAGATCTGGACAGAAATGTCCTAATGTCGGTCCGTGGGCCAGAAACATCAAACATCAAGGGATACACGGCGTGGCCAGGAGCCTGGCATCAACACTGAGCTTTCCAGAAAGATCCCATGCAGAGGAATGGACCAACACTGGCTATGGATCTGAGTGAAACCCATTCACCTCAAACCATGTACCCTCTGGTAAACTAACATAACTATGGAAAATCACCAGTTTTAATGGGAAAATCCACTATAAATGACCATTTTCAATAGCTATTTTGACATAACCAGAGGGTATTTATCAATGAAATCTCCGTGAAGAAGCCATGGATGTTGGTGAAATCCACATTTTGACCCATCACTAATCACTGAAGAGAATGACATCAGCTTTGGGCAAGTCACGATGAAGTCATAAAGAAATTACTGTGAATGATGGTAAGTAAGAACATCATTTCACAAATGACGGGTTTCCACTAGGAATGGTCCTAATTGCTAGTTTTCCATGTATTGAAAATAATATCATCAATCTTGATCTTATATTGCAATGTTCAATGACTTGCATTGAATACTGCATGTAGTTTGTTTCTATCTATATCTAAAACATATATATTTGTGTGTGTGTGTGTTTTATAGCTGCAATTTTAGATGCTCATAAAAAAAAATGTATTCGTTCTTTCCGCTGAGTTTTTGAGGTGTTATTGGCCGTGTTCCTGTGCATGGGTGGCTTGATCATGGGCAATTTGCTCCAGGACACAGTGGGGCACAGTGACAGCGGAAGATCACTGGCACAACATGGGAAACCCATGGGTGTTTATAAATCGGCAAATAAATACAAGTATACCATAAATGTATATATCATATATTGTATATGATATATATTCATATATATATATATTATATACGCATATGTGATACTCAGCAGATTGGATTTTACCTGCAAACATTGGCAAACATGTGGATTTTTACCAGTGCGGCCTTCAACCAGTGAACGTTCGCAAAGACATGAGATGGTGATTGCCTTTGGCAAACGGTTATTATCCCTTATCGAACATGGAGATTTGGAAAAGGTGGATGGAAAAACAGTGATCAACTATTTTGATTGGCTTCCCAGAAACATTGTAACATGGACCCCCCAAATTCTACACAGTGGCTTCTTTGTTGAGGGAAAAACCTAGGGAGGACTTTTTTTGGGGGGATCATTGGCAAAAAAGCTCCGCGCTGCCAGGATTTCATCAAAGATGAAAGCCAGAGCATGGAGGATCGCCAATGGGTTTGGCAACATTACGGTACTTGTCCCTGCGCAAAAAATAGAGAGGGACAGGCTGGGACAGGTGAAAAGTATTGAAAAGTCGGAGTGAAACATAGCGAAGGATCTATGGGCATTTTTTTACCTGCGAGGGTCACCGGGTCGCCTGCACATATATGGGGTTGTGCAGCCGAACGGCTGGCGGATCACAGTTGAGTACAGCCCAGCATGACTCTTGAATCTAGATGGTGTCTGTGGTGAGATTATGCATATATATATATATATATACGTGTATATATATATATTATATTATATTTAAAATAACATAGTTATATGTGCGCATTTGTACATGTATATGAATATTCGATACTGCATTTAGCTGGATCATCAAGAGAGAGAGAGAGAGATCTCATGCACTCAGGGTTTCAAAGTGGTGAAACGGATGCTGGAAATCTTGTGGCAAAAAGGTTGGCCCCCATTCACCTTCGATGAAGGTTGATGGAATCTACAAAGCTGGGCCATGTGTCAATGACTGCTCCCAAGGCTATCGCGCAACCTACACGCTTTATGCAACTCGGCGCAATGCGGCTTCAAACTATTGTTGGATATTGTTGGTAAGTGGCCAAAGGCTCCAAAACTATTGCTGAAACCTTTTTTATCCTTTTTTTCACAAAGAGCTGGCAGGAGCTGGCAAAGTCTTTTGGAATCTCACTGATTCAAATGGGCAGTAGGATGAAGTGGCATTTTGGGGTTACCGGGTTTGCTTACAACATGTGGCCGAGTATGCAAATGACGCAGCTGCATCAATGGATTCCCCAATGGCCGCGGATTTAATGATTTGTTCATGTGAATCCCCCAATTCGTTCTGGCGAGTGCACACAAGTTGAACATTGTTCTGGAAGCTGACTTTGTTACGTTGGGGCATGAGCGGCTCAGTGGGATGATTTTTCTGCATCGCCATTTCGGCGCATAATAGGACTGCACGAGAGCTTTCATCAGGAACTAATTTAGACATGAGTTGTGTAACTTCGCCTTCATTAAACCCATTTTCGCCCACCAAAATGGGTCCGCCACTTTGGGCCTTTAGGACAATCATACTGTGATTGTCTCAGCATCCTGAGTTTTTTTTGGCAAAGCAAGGAGTAATGAAGAGATGGGCGAGACAGTAGTCCTGAAATGTCCTGAACATATTTTCTTCTATGTAAAAAAGAGCTTAGTGGCTTAGTGTTATCAAAATCTTGGGCTGGAGAACTCACTTTATTTATTGCTACTTCAGGAGGCGCAATACACTTCAGGAGGAACAACTTTTATACTTCTTGAAGCCTTTACGAAACATCCATCTCGGTCAACCGCGGATCACATTTCGAAGTCCATTTTGCGTGGAAGGTATGGAACGGTGAATGGTCACCGGCTTTTGAAACCTCTAGGACTTGAAAGCGTTTGGTGGGGAGAAACGCGACCAAGGTACAACACAGCTCCAACTAGGATTCTAAGGGGAAAGGGCGTGCACAGGCAAACGCCAAGCTGTCCTAAAACTCAACAAGCGAAACCTTAGTCCGCCCTGAGTTACTACACTCTGTTCCCATGTTCTGGAAATCAAGCATGGCAATGGGGCAAATGATGTTCCAAGAAAACAAAGTGGCCCTTTGGGAGGCTGAGTACACATTGGTTGAAATCTGGAATTTTGCTGGTCTGTTTCCTCAGGAAATGACCTTTGCTGGTCGGGGCACCCAGTGTGCGATAGCTTGCTGAAATTGCTGTGCGACTCTGAGTTCATAAGCGCTTAGTGACGAAGTGGGCAAATACGAACTAAGGTGCATGGCAAACATGCGTTTGGCATTGTTTGGCTATAAATGTGGATAATGTAGGCACATGTTTGTCATCTATCGCCATCTTCGTTCCGGATGTTGACATGTTCCTTCCGTAAACCCCCGCATGTCCTCAGGAAATTGGCCGGTGAATGCGCGGCCTATTTTAGAAAAGGCCGCTGATTCACGCTGGAGGGCGCCAGAATGGAACTTGTTGGTGTGGGCCAAACTTGTGAACCACAAAAGAAAATGATGGTTAATAATGGGGAAAACCGGATGTCATACCTACCATTTTGATCCATTTTGGGGATGGTATATATACCATTCATACAAATGGCAAATTTGGGGATGATTGTTTGTTATTGGGTTTACCACATTAACATCAATGTTGAATCAAAGTTAATCTTAAAAAATGACACGGGGGTTCTGTGATTGACAATTAAACCCATCCTGGACAGGTGAGTCACGCCTTTGTGATCTTCTACTTTCTGTACATCACCATCATTGTGACTCGGATGCCGATCATGGGATCCTTGGGATTCAGATTGGTGGCTGAGTTCAGTGTTCAAGTCGGTATTAAAAAAAAAACGGTGATCACCGATGGCGGGAGATCATGCCCCACGAAAACCTTGGTTCATTAAGGGGGAAAACTTTCAAACAGGGAACGATTATATATATATATATGTATGTATGTATGTATGTATGTATGTATGTATGTATGTATGTATGTATGTATGTATGTACATTGTTTTATGCGTGTATATATATATATATGCATAAGTATAGCCATAGCCATAACCAAGTCAACCAATAGGCGGCACATGGGGTTACAAATCCTTTGTTGATATCACTAACTTGAATACATGGTTGTTTAAGTTAAAAGGCAATGTGAGAAACAAAACAAAGATGATTATTGTTTGATTTGAAAGGACTTGAAGGGAAAGTTCACCGGAAACCCATATATATATATATATGTGTGTGTGTGTGTGTAATATCTATATATTTAATATATATATATATATCTTTTGACTAGGAGAAACATGTTGTTCTTTCAGCCAATCCAATGACTCAAAGGAATTGTCATTGCCATGGTCAGATCACCCGCGAATGCCCTGAGGTCTTTGCGGTGATTCGAGTCATTTCGGCAATTTTTTTGAAGGCTGGTGCACCTGTCTGGCCCGGTAAAAGTGTGGCTTAGCTTTGGTAGGTTTGGTGAATCAAATTTGTTTGAAGCTTAAAACGCGTTTAAACCCGGATTAACGAATGGAACGGTTAAAACATCCTAATGTGGCGCAATCCTTTGCTGGCTGAGACCTGTCTGGTAATAGACTATAGCTTGGCGAGTAACACGTTGTAATATGTATGTATATATATATATGTGTGTGTAACATTCCCCAGTTGTATCCAGTTGTTCAGGGGGGCTGTAGTTTTGCCATTCTTTGCTTCGTCAGCATTTGTCAAGTGGCTCACAATGTGTAACTTCAAAGTTTTGGGGTATAGCGAGCAACAACATGTTGAATCAACAGCCTGCGATTGCTCCTGGAAACGTTGCAAAGTTGTTGTCCCCGGAAATGCTGCACCAGATTGCCATAGCGACCACATCATGATGTCACTGTCCCCGGAAGATGTTTCAGCCAGATTTGGAGGAAAGCAGATGTTGATTGCACATGATTGCACTATCAATGGTTCTTTTCTTAGTTATCCACATTGACACATGCATATCATACCAGGCATACTGTTTCTGCTGCATCCACAGTTTTGTCCCACTTGTTAAATATGATTACAGTCCTATGTGGGTGTCTCTGAAAATTGATAATGGAGGGCTAATTATTTTAGGATTTTTTTTTTGATCAGGTTTAGGAATTATTTTTGGATTCCTGCTTCTCTGCTTTTCCTGCTTTTCCTGCTTCTCTGCTTTCCTGCTTTTCCTGCTTTTCCTGCTTCTCTGCTTTTCTGCTTTTTTGCTTTTCTGCTTCTCCTGCTTCTCTGCTTTTCTTCTGCTTTTTTGCTTTTCTGCTTCTCCTGCTTCTCTGCTTCTCTGCTTTTCTGCTTTTTTGCTTTTCTGTTTTGCCTGTTTCTTTGCTTCTCTGCTTTTCCTGCTTTTCCTGCTTCTCTGCTTTTCTGCTTTTCCTGCTTCTTTGCCTTTCTGCTGTTTTGCTTTTGTGCGTTTCCTGTTTCTTTGCTTCTCTGCTTTTTTGCTTCTCTGCTTTTTTTTTTGCTTTGCCTGCTTTAAATACTTGATTTTCATGTAAGATGCATTTTGCACAGTATTTAAGTATTTACATCCCTGAGTATCACATGACCAACCTTCTCTTGAAAACTAGCAACGTAACATGTGAGAAGAGGTGCTTGCATTCTGCTTTGGGGGGAGGCGCTGCGCTCTCCCCCCAATCCCCCCCTCCCGCTTTTTTTATTTAAACTTAAACCCAAGTTACATTAGTTGGTTTTTGCGAACTAACCTTCTCTGGAAAGCTGACAGGATTACATGTGATAGATAGATAGATAGATAGATAGATAGATAGATAGATAGCCGATAGATAGCTTGGTAGATAGATAGCTAGATAGATAGATAGCCAGCTAGATAGATAGATAGCTAGAGAGATAGATAGCTAGACACCTCGATAGATAGATGGCTAGATAGATAGCTAGATAGATAGATGGCTAGATAGATAGATAAAGAGGTAGCTAGATAGATAGATAGATAGATAGATAGATAGATAGATAGATAGATAGATAGCTAAATAGATAGGTAGATAGTTAGCTAGATAGATAGATAGCTAGATAGATAGCTAGATAGCTGGATAGACAGCTGGATGGCTAGATAGATAGCTAGATAGATAGAAAGCTAGATAGCTAGATAGCTATATAGATAGTTAGCTAGATAGCTCGATAGCTAGATAGCTGGATAGACAGCTGGATGGCTAGATAGATAGATAGCTAGATAGATAGAAAGCTAGATAGCTAGATAGCTAGATAGATAGTTAGCTAGATAGCTAGGTAGGTAGATAGATAGCTAGCAAGATAGCTAGCTAGATAGGTAGATAGATAGCTAGATAGATAGATAGCTTGCTAGATAGATAGCTAGCTTGCTAGATAGATAGCTAGCTAGATAGCTAGATAGCTAGCTAGCTGGATAGATAGCTAGCGCCCTCCCTCAATCCCCCCCACCCGCTTTTTATCTAATCCCAAGCTTCCGCATCTGTAAATATTTGGGTGAACATGCTCACATGTAGAACATCCCATGCAAAATGGAAGGTGAACATGCCAAAATGTGGCAAATACCATACAATGTGTGGCATGATTCTACACACGATAAGGAGTGGCATGACCTAAAACAGCTCTTGCGTCATGACTTGAAAGGAGGCATGGGAGCTGGAGCTAGAGCTACTCGACGTAAGCGAGAAGAAAAAGAGAACCCCAATTCTTTGGTGGCCGCATTGAGTGGTTTTCTTCATCAGTGGCAAAATCAGAAGGGTACTGGAAGGCTTGGTAGTGATTCATGTCAGGAACCTGCCAGTTCCAACTTTAGCAATAGATGGTGCAATAAATCTCCCAGGTTACAGCAGCCGCAGAGAAAAGGTGACAATGGGTTGATTACTGATTTGTTGACCTTCCTCACCGAATGCCAGAAACAGAGAATGGATGACCATATGGTTGTTGCTCAACTGCAAGAACGACTTCGGACATGGGGCAAACCGCAGAAGCAGTGGCAAACTGAGGTGCGAAATGAACCACGGCAGATTCACGTTGGGAATAGGTTATCCACGAACGTGCAACAGGGCATTTCGGATATCAATCAGTGTGAATGGTCACTGCCTGTCAAAACCATTTCGAAAAGACTGTTTTTGCAGCAATTGTCGGATGGACAAAAGCCTGATGGTAATTTGATTTCTGTCAAAACTGTGGATGATTTTCATGAAATCAAAGACATGAAAACTGCCTTGGACAATTATGACCCTTTGGCTGTGTTAATTAATGGACATCATTCGGTTGGCCATAACACTCGAGTGTCTCTCAAACGAGGAGCGCAACGTATGAAGTTTGAAGAAGTAACTTTTGTTGCCTTAGGTACCCCGTCTCAGGTACCGACTCCCAGGCAACCTACAGTTGCGAATGTGACAAAATTCCAGCCGGCCACTAAGGTCACGGTTCGAATCTCAGCACCAGCACACTACCGTGAAGCTTACTTGGGTCCTCAGGAGTGGGACTCGGCAAAAAGTGTGCTCCTTGAATTGGCACAATTGAAAATCGCTCCAGCCTCCACTTGGACTGGGGGATCATGGCAGTGGAATACAGTTCAGCGTCACCACACCCTTGTGGGACATATGAGACTTGCTCCTCAAGTGGCTCTAGCCCTTGAGGCTTACTCAGGACGGCGTGGCATTTTTGTCACGGCAACGGGGGTGACCAAAAGATCTGAACAGGTCAAATGGCTCCGCCGAGCTGACAATGCTGATTGTGACAGTCACCTCCGCCACTGTCTTTTTGAAGCGGAGACACGCAAACAGAACTTGAAGTTCCGTATGGGAGGGGGTTGCGACTTGGGCATTCTTTATCTTCCCAATGAAAACGTTGATGTTAGACCGGTTCATGTGTTGGTGCAGGGTATTCCTAGTGCCTGGGAATCCACTGACTTGGAGAATTTCTTGGCTGAACAGGGATGGAGTCAGGTCCAACCGTTGTCTCGCCGCCCCGCCAGGAAAAAGTTTGTTACGTGGATTGTCAAAGCTTTGGCTCCCAATGGCAACGTTGCTAATATGACCCCAAACTGCACTTGGCATTATGTTGACAATGATGATGCTGATCTCCAAATCTACGTGAGTAAGCAAAATGGAAGATTCCCGAAACCTCAGCATGTCCGTCAGGTTGAGGCTCCTAAGAAGAGATTTCACATGGATAAGCCCACTCTGTCATCGGGTGAGATTCCTGATGTTCCTATGAATGAAGTTGTTGAAGCCCCGAGGCACGAAATTAACCATGAAACATCTGAGGCCTCCAACGATGGCAGGTCTCGAAGCCGTAGCCCACCAAGGGCGCAAAGAAAGGTCACGGTGCAACGTACACCGTCACCAAAAGTTGCAGCACACTCAGTTCCACAGGTCAAGGATGAAATTGAAACGTTAAAAGAGGAAGGTTACACTGAGATTGACCTGGGTGGCAGTGGTGACTGTGGTTTTCGGGTTGTGGCCACCGGATTAGCTTACAACAGTGACCTCACAAAAGTCTTCACCCCTGATGAAGCTCGGCGGCAAGGTGCTAAACTCAGAGGCCAGGCGGTGACCTATTGTCGTAAACATTCCAAAGATTTCATCCCTTTCTTCTGTGAAGACAAGGATGTTTCCCCTGAGGAGCCTTCGCTGGAAAGTCAAAAGGGGTTTGACGCATGGCTTCAAGAAATGAATCTCCCACATACTTGGATTGATGGGTTAGCTCTGAAAGGTCTGACTTGTAGAACTGGCATGCCCATTGTGATTTGGCGATTTTCGGGTAACCATTGGAACCGAGTCACCCTTGCCCCTTCATTCAGTACTGATGGTTGGGCACGGGCCAGAGACGGTGCTCAGGCTGTTGCTTTGTTGCTTCGGAATCAACATTACACTTGGCTCAAACCACCGGCTAATGAGAAATGACCAGACTGCTGGCTTAAAGAAACCAGTTTCCCCGGAAGGAAAGAGCTACAAGGCTCTGGTAGATCTAGCTGTGCATCCCCGGCTAGTCTGATGGCGAAAAAGGCCACTTCAGTGGCAAAGACTGTGAGCAAGAGCTGCAGCGGTGCCAGTAGCAAAACGCCTTCAGTGCGTACACTCAGGCATATGGTCAAACGGACAGAAGCCCCGTCCTCTTCTGCTACTCCTTCCGTTCACACGGCCCCTGTGCGAGCCCAACTAACTAAGGCCAAAGCTGCTTCGGAGGATTCCTGTTCTCTCCGTACTCTGCGGCCGCAAGCTTGCAAGCCCTCACCTGCCAGGGCTGTGTCAGGCAAATCGATCGCGACCACTCGCGTTCGAACTATACCTGCGGATGATGTTCGGATGCGTTCTCTTTGCAAAGGAGTTCCTGCGAATCCTAAGAATGTCGCCAATGCTCGTGGCTTAACTCAACTCTGGGAAGCCGCTCAAGAAGATCGGGTTTGGACCTGCCCTCTGTGCCAACTCCGCA